CCCTTCGAGTTCCGACCGCCAGACAGTCCTGCTTCTCCCGTTTGAGTCTGGGTCCCTAGAGACTCAGCTGGATCTGGAGCTCAGAATCTGATACTCCCTCTGGATTGGAAAAGACAACCGCGCCCTCAGCCTCCAGCCTGCTCCGCGCGGCACTCCGCACCTGAGTATTTCACTTCAGCACTGTGCCTCCTCTGAGTCTGGGTATGATATTCTCTTTCCTCCTAGTTGTAGGACTTCCACTCAGCCAGCGTTCCTGTGGTTCTGGGTGATGTCCGTTCCGTCTTTTAGTTTTATTTTTGAAGTGGTTGTTCAAGGCAGCAATCTCCAGCGTTAACCTATGCCGCCATCTTGGTTTCTCCTTCCCTAATCTCTTAAATTGATTTTAAAGAGAGAGGAAGGGGTAAGGAGAAAGTAAGTGAGGAACATTAATGTGAGAGAGAAACATCAATCAGTTGTCTCCCAGATGAACCCTGACCAGGATCAAACCTGCAACCTGAGTGTCTGCCCTGACCAGGAATTGAACCTGTGACCTTGCAGTGTATGGGATGAAACTCCAACCAACTGAGCCACACTGGCCAGGGCCCAAGGGACTTTTTTAAAAAGTCCATATTCTGCCCGGGCCTGAGTTGGTTGAGCATTGGCCCATGTACCGAAAGGTCTCTGGTTCAATTCCTGGTCAGGGCACATGCTTAGGTTGCAGGTTCAGTCCCCAGTCATGTGGAGGCAACCAATCGATATTTCTCTCTCACAAGAATGTTTCTCTTTCTCTCCTCTCCCTTCCTCTTTCTCTAAAATCAATAAAAACATGTTTCTAAAAAACAATAAACACCCTAGCCAGCTTGGCTCAGTGGACAAAGCAGACCAAAGGGTCTGGGTTTGATTCCGGTCAAGGGCGTGTACCTCAGTTGCAGACACCTCCCCTGGTCGGGGCTTGTGCAGGTGGAAACCAATCGATATGCTTCTCCTGTCTTTGCCTCTCTCTTCCACTCTTTCTAAAAATCAATGGAAAAATATCCTTGGGTGAGAATTAAAAAAAAAAAAAGCAAAAGCAGTAAGCAAAAAGTCCGTATCTTTAGTTCCATTAATTCCTTTCCTGAAGTCTATCCTTAGGAAACAGAAATTAAGGCCAAGATCATTGTACAAAAATGTTTATCACAGCATTGTTTATAGTAGTGAATAATTGAATGTCCATATATCTAATAGGGAATAATATATTTACATGATGGAATGTTTTACTAACATATTTAAAGAATATGTCATTAAAGAATATTTAATGACATGAGAACATGCTCTTGAAAAAAAGAGAAAAAGATAAAGTTGCATCTGTATAATAATCCAAATTGTGTAATGCTTTTGCCTATATTTTGGACTGTGAAGATCTGATTTACTGTTACCCAGTTCTAGTAAATCAAGCTTGACTGGAATTAGGTTCTGTAATTGCAAAGAAAGCTTTTCATTTTTCTGATTTTTAAAACATTGTCAGTTGCCAGCTAATCCTTCCAAATTGCTCTTCACTTGCTGAAACCTGCATTATGACTTCATGTCAGTATACGATCCTAAGATATAAATGAAGCAGAGGTACTGCTTATGTTTTAGATGATTAAGCATTTTAGACAATAAGGTTTCCTCCTAATAAGGTTAGCAATCAACATTATTTTGTGCCAGTAGGCTTTTCATAATAACTAAGGATATTATCTTCTTTGTCCTAACTTCACAGATTATAAGCACACCACAGAGACTGACCAGTTCAGGAAGTGTTCTGATCGGGAGTCCATACACCCCAGCACCAGCAATGGTCACTCAGACACACATAGCGGAAGCTACTGGCTGGGTTCCAGGGTAAGAGTGTTTTTACAAGTTACCATTTTAAAAATAAAATTTAAAAAGTTCTGACATTTTTTTCTTAGGATCTTGTCTTCTGTTCTTGTGTTATGTTAGTCTAGTCCTTAAAAACTAATACATTTCCTTTAAAATTACCAATTTATATTACTTCATGTCTTAGATATAAGTCATTTATGGAGCAACCATTTTAAAACAGAGAAAACATTATAATAATAACTTGTACCTGAATCTTTTTACTTTTTTCAACTCTGAAAGAACTATTTTTTTTATTTTTTTTATTGCTTAAAGTATTACAAAGGGTATTACATATGTGTTCATTTTTTCCCCCCGCCCTAGACAGTCCCCTAGCCTCCCCTATCCCCCAGTGTCTTATGTCCATTGGTTATGCTTATATACATGCATACAAGTCCTTTGGTTGATCTCTTACTCCCTACTTCCTGCCCCCCAACCCTCCCCGGCCTTCCCGCTGCAGTTTGGCAATCTGTTTGAGGCAGCTCTGCCTCTGTATCTATTATTGTTCAAAAGTTTATAATGGTCTCTATTATCCATGAAGAACTATTTTTTATTATTATGGCATTTAGCTGCTTTGGAGATGTCAAAACTATATCTTATATTGTTTTAACAAAAAATATTTTTAGTGTTGGTGATACTTAGAATTTCCCCTGTGAATTCTTGTTTCCTTTAAAAAAAAATCAGAAAAGGAACTAGGGAAAAGAGGCCAAATTCTATGTTATTCATTTGCTACTTTTAGTACCAAACCTTCACATGTTTCATCTTTGTCTGCAAAATACCCTTACCCAACCTCTCTCCTTTGCTTATCATTTTTAACATCTCATCTTTCCATAAAATAAAAAGAAATAGTAAAATTAATGACTCAAAACTTTATTCTGTTGCTTTAGAAGTTATTTAAATTGTTATTTAAATACTGCATGGGTAGTTCCATCTTTGACTTACAACTGTGAGTTCTAGCAAACAGACAATAAATCTTGGTTGAGTAAGAATTTCCTCCCTTCAAAAATATTAAATGAGTTTGGCAAGCGTGGCTCAGTGGTTGAAGCTTCAACCTATGAACCAGGAGGTCACAGTTTGATTCCCAGTCTGGGCACATGCCTGGGTTTGGGCTCCACCCCCAGTGGGGGAGGGGGGGGGGGGCTGAAGGAAGCAGTTGATCAGTGATTCTCTCTAATCATTGATGTTTCTATCTCTCTCTCTCTCTCTGAAATCAATAAAAAAATATATTTTTAAAAAGAATATTGAATGAATTAATGAAATAGTCCTGGAAAAGTGTTTTAAGACATATTCAAACACCTACGCACACATATATTATAGATAGAAGAGTTTCATATGTGGTCATACTTTTCCATTATCAAATGAGATGACATGACAGTCACCTGTAATTCCATGGCCTTTATTCAGTCCTTGTGAGCATTCTCATGTAGATCCAAAAGTTACCTTGGATTCCTGCACAGCTCTGAGCGATTATAACATGAGCTCGTGCCTGTACCAGGGGTTTGGAGATGACCAGGGTTTGGGTAGTTCCAGCCCCAGCTGTGCTTTATGTTGGAGGTGGTATGCCTGTCGTGTCTTTATAGTCAGTTATTCCAGAGTAAATCAGACTTCTCTGTGCCTTTTCTTTTGTGAACCTGCAGTGTTTTCCTCCTTAAAGATTCATTGAACTCGTTTCAAACTAGGTTATCCTGTTGTGATTTCTTGGTCCTTTCATAAAATTTAAGTTTTCATTTTATGGACATAACTTTTATATTAGTTTTTATGTTTAGCTATATAGTGGCATTAGGCAAGTTACAGTAAATGATTCATGAAATAAAGTAGTGTTTATATGTTCTTTTTATGCCTTTTTTTCTTTTCTTTTTAGTGATAGAAAACGGGCTAGAGAATTTATAGACTCTGATTTTTCAGAAAGGTGAGTATGAGTGTATCTTGCTTGGGAGATGCTACTACATAAAGAGGTTTGGTACCCAGACTCTAGCTTAAGTTAGTGAGATGTGTTTATCCACACAACTTTAACTTGATTGAGTTCCTACCATGGTTCTGTACCACACTGAGTATTTTCTTCACTTGTCGTTACATAAATTTAGTATTATATTTTTATTTTTATGGTTTCAAAGGTGAATAGATTGGCTATTGGTAATATGTCATTTAGCTCCCTCCCTCCTTTTGGGAAATGCAGTGTTCTACCAAGGTGACTACTACACCTGACCTCAACATGCCCAAATATTTTAAAAACAGGTTTGACTGAGCACATTTAAGGATCATAGTAAATTCTTACTTCTTTCTCTAAATAATACATCGAGTATCATGTAACCTTTCTTTAGACTGTTAGGACAGTGGTTCTCAGTTCTCGGTGTACCTCAGAATTTCCTGTGGTTTGTTGAAAAATATAGATGCATGCC